GTAACCCGAAAGGTGCACCTCTGAACCGGTATTGATTGCCTTTCCACGTAAAGCTAAAGTATTTACGGTGGGGTTCATATACCTGCATTTGATGGTATCCTTGTGTAAGGTCTATAGTTGTAAACACTGTAGCACCTTCCTTCCTTCGCAGTGGCTTGTTAATACGAGGTAGGGGAAAGCTATGAGTCGGCAATAATTTATTTATTGGACTCATATCTAAACATACTCTGAATTTCCTAAATGATCCGTCAAAGTTATGTTGATCTACGGCTAGCAGTGTCAGGTAAACTGGCGTTTGTTGATAGTTAATTTCTATCACATCATCTGCTAGCCATTTCTCAACTTGTTCTTTTACAACAGCCTCGTGTCTCCAGGATACATAGTTCCTTGAGGGACACTTTAACTGTGTAACGTCTACCTTGGTTAAGTCAAGGCTGACATATCCGTCGTTAAAGCGGAATTTTGCCCAATCTGTGATCTTTATTTTCTTAATATCAAGAATCAGATCCATGATTTTCTCCGCAAAGTCAGGTATTAATGCCTTGACTGTGTCTGACGGGGGCTTATATGGATTCAGGCAGTTATCATCTGATTGATCCTTTAATGGATCTGTGTTAGTTTGGTAGACCAGTTACGGTTATACCTAGAGTGAGTAAATCACTCATTCCAACTATAATGTCGTACTTCTGTGACATCTTAACTATCACAGCTTGAGTAGTAAACTCCTATCATCGGCCAGGGAGATTTTAACATCTGTGGCCATGGTATCACACTTAGTAGTTTTATCATCAGCTAAAATGAGATGAGTTATTTGTGTTCTCCTTTCGATATCTTTCATTAATGCAAAGCGATCGGATATACATGAAATTTCTGAACCAGGATCAATCAACGCAAGGATTCTATTTCCATTGCAATATACAGGGATTATTACACTCTCATCTAAAGAGTCGCTGTGTTGTCTGTGTAATGATTGTACCTGGTAGTACCGTCACTCCAACTTAATGTTAGGTTTTGGTCACAAGACTTAGTGTGATAACCATTGGTCTTCTCACACTTGCCACACTTAGTAAGAAAGTGTGTACAGGTGGATGCATGTCTACCATTCCAATAACCGTTAGGAGTTAACTGGTACATGTCATACCCACACTGGGCGTCGGCACATTTCTTAACTTCTTCAATGGAGGTTCCATGTCCTTCGCTCCTGCGCGTGCCCATTTATTGGGTCGCGTGGTTGAAGTGGATTCGCGAGCACGTGTATGTTGGGGTCAACAGCCGCTTTTCCCTTCGATGCTACTCGATGTGCGGGAAAAAGACTGGATACAGTATCATAAAACTATTCCCATGTAAGTCGGGATAGATAAAACTTTGTTTCATGTCCCTTGTCTCGAGCCTCAGTCGCGTGTTTACGTCGCAACTCGGTGTACAGACTCTCACGGTCGTTACTCCCTATGTTCTTACAGAACACGTGCATAACCAGGAATTCGTACCATCGCTGTGCCTTGTCCTTTGTTATATCGGGACGTTTCAGGTCAGCGTCTAACTTCAGAATATAACTCTGAAGGGGTGTATTCTCGGCTGGTTCATTTAAAATTGAACTTAGCCCAGGGCTACGTATATCTTTACTTAACAAGGATATGACCAACCAACACACAGCTGGACAGTCACGACAAGTGTCTAGCTCATGCTGGTGTCGCTGCAAGATCAGATAACTGGTCCCTGTAGGGTCAAATGTTTGCATTAAGTCAGAGATCCATTGCTGGGAAGCGATATCATTCGTCTCCAGCATGACCGTAAACGCATTAAGTGTACGAGTTAGCGTGTCGAGGTCATGGTTGTTTATAAACTCGACCTGCATGCTGTTGGCATCCAAGTTCGACTTAAGTCGACTGATCTGTCCCTTGTACTTCTGGTTGTTCCTGTGGTCTTGTCCACGTTGGGCCTGAAGTATTTGGTCTATGCGCTTTTACTTAATCGCAATAATATTTGCATAGTATGCTACGTCATCAGCATGATGTGCAGCATGGGCGACTATCATTTTATTGGAATAGTCGTTGACCGATTTATTAAGGCCGGTCACCTCGTCAAAGTGGAAATCCTCTGCGGGTTGGTGTAAAGCCGTGCGGTCGAAGCGATTAAACTCGACATCGTTCACATGTCTGCGGGGATGATTAATATCCCTTGGCGTCAGAATAACATATCCAGTCTTAACTGGTTTCCGACGATTATCCTCCCAATTGGGTACAAGTGGCGGAGTATATATTCTTACCTCTCGGTCTATAATACCTTTGAGGACAGGTGACTCACGGCCGGGTGTCAGAACAAGCGAATGATTAGCCTGTTCTTCTGGCAGTAATGCCTCGTACAGTATATCGACGCTGTGCACCTCTGGATCATATGGCTCAGGTGTCGAGCTCGAGTCTTTGGGCGTAATTGCCTGTCGACGTTCTGTCCACTTCTGTAGGGCTTCAGTAATGCCCGGGGAAACATGCTCGCGTAAGTGCTGTTTAAGGTTTCCTGATCTTTCTAATTGACCTACATGTTCGACAGTCAAGTCTTTCATTATAGTAGCTAACTGATTCTTAAGATCAGCGTATTTAGTACTTAACTTACTTATGTCCTTTGGCTTAGAAGTCTCGGACGTAGATTCGGTTTTGCTACTTGAGCTTGCCTCCTCTTCTGGTTCTATAATAGGTTCCTTCTGAAATTTGTCTTTGTCCCCTATAATTGGGGACGCCCTCATAATTGGGGACTTTCCTTTTTGATTTTCGTCAGAAGAATGGGTTGGGGCGTCTTGAGACGTATCCCTTGTCTCACTTCTTGGCATCGTTAATGCAAGCTTTGAAGTTGAGGCAATAGTTGGCCCTCGGGCTCTGTCAGAAAGAGTAGTCTCCTTAAGCGGAGTGGCTACTTCCTTATCTGAAGCATTGTCCTTATGACTATAATTGTCAGAGGCAAGTACTTTGGCTACAGTGCGCTTAAATGCATCAGCAGCGGCGTCGGTTGCTTTTGCAGCAGTAATAGCTGCGGCAGCGTTAGCGACTTCTCTCTCCATCTTCTTCTTTTCAGCTCTACGCTTCTTAGAAGGAGTGTTGTCTTTCTTGGTCATAATCTTACCTTATGACTACTAGCTTGTCTCTTAACGACTAGCTTAGACAAGAAAAATAATCCTCTCAGTACTGTCTCCGCCGAAGGGATTTTATTTAGTGTTCCGTTGTCGCTCTATTCTGGGGCGAATCCGAGAGACTCATAAAATCCTATCTTTAGAAAAAAGAAATAAAAATAAAAATACTCGTGACGCCTTTAGTTATTGTCTTAACCAATAACTTGCCACTATCAAGAATTACCGACTTAGACTTCATCAGACTGGCACATCTGGTTGGCTGATCGGAGGACCAACTAGGTAACGTAAATAGTCCCTAGAAACCTATATTCGGTTGAGCCATCTCGCTACCGAAGTATTCAGATATAAATAAAATTGGAAAGTAAATAAAGCTCTATTAATAGAACTAGACCAACCCTTTTATGTTTGGTATTTTACTGAGGCTTTTTAATGGCCTCATCCAAATATCTGATATGTTAAATGGAGAAGGTTTGTGCTTTTAAGAGCACATTTAGGAGACTTAAGTTCCTCGTACTATTAAGAGTACATTTAGGAAACTTAAGTTCCTCGTACTATTAAGAGTACGTTTATAATTTGCGTACTGCTTAAGAGTACGTTTATACATAGAGTCTAATGTGGAGGCCCGGCTTATTACATATGTTCATGTATGTGATTATGCACATGTATGCGCATGTATGTGTTTATGCACATTGTGGACAAAGTACCCTGGACGGGCATTGAGGGCTGGACCAGAGGGCCCAACCTACAAGTGGAATTTTAGGACCGGACCAGAGGAGCGGACCTAAGTAATATATTTTAGGACCGTACTCAGAGGGATCGGACCTAATATTAAGATAGAGAATTTGATATGAAAGATTGATGACTCAAGAGGTGTCATCATAATTTAGTAACCGGGAAACGAAAACCATAGATACAGGTATTTTCATAATTACCCGTTAGAGAAAATCTCGTTCCACACAGGAACGTGATAATAAATACAGCAGACGCGCCGATCATAACAGCACTTCTGACTGAGTTCACTTATTTCAGACTTAACACTCTTTACTAAGTGTTACTTAGTTTTGACCACATTTTTAAGTGACCGAACTACTATATTTATTATAATACGTTCTTTAAAGGTTAAGTAACTAAGAAGCAAATTAGGTTACTTTTATCATTTTATTTTTCACAACGATGACGGGACCCGAGACTAGACCGCTGCCTACGGTGGGTAAGCAAGCCTGTGACCAACTTATGAAACGGTTGCTTGGAACGATCCGCCATTTGACCGAGCTATGCAATAAGGTGGACACAGCACGTGCCAAGCAACCTGAACCCGAAGACGACGAGAAGGTGATAATTCAATTGGAATTGACTCATTTGCTTTTGGAGGAGGCCCAGTACTCAATCCGAACCTTGGCTAGGCTTAGCCGAGCCCCAGCATGGATTGCAGATCAAGCAGGACACCTGAATACGATGATACATGTGAAGGAGGCAAAGGAAAAGAGTCGCCTCATTCGAGAGCAACTCCGCCAACGCCATCAATTGTCACTGGCAGATATTGACACGTCTATGCCCCAGGACACGGCCCAGGCGACAGTGGATGATGGTTTTTCTGAGACTGAGGCCGAACCAACAGTGCAACAACATAGGGATAATATTGTTTATTTCAAAAATGGCAAGTATGTATGATACAATGTATGAACATATGGAATGGCGAAGAAGTGGTCAGTAAATTCCCGTTTGAAGCTTGGGCCATGTGAGTCGACAATGGAAGATATGTGCTGAGTCAATTCGGGCCGGTGTTAACAAAACGCTGTTACTATCGAATGTTCCATATATTCGCTTGCTGACCTACTAAGTAGAGTACCCACCTCTGTGGTACGGATC